CTTCAGAGTACTAGACCAGGCCAAAGGAAAAACTCACTCTTCATAAAATCTCACCAAGTCAGCAACCCCGTTCTCTTCGTCAAGTACACGAACCAAACTGTACAGTCGCTCGATATCTTTGTCGAATCCTCTATTTTCCAGAGCAGAAACGGTTCCTCGTAAAGAACAGGTTTGACGATCTTGTTGAGACGACGGCAAGTACGGCAAAGTGCGGCTAAGGCCGTGGTTGCTTCGGTCATGGCCCTGCTATCAAGCAAGCAAGCTCGTCAGTCACCATCTGGAAACTATCTGTGGTGTTCACACTAGCGGCAGACAGCCAGCCAGTCAAAACTTACTTTCGTTGGCTTACCTCCGTGGCGGAGAGGGACTCGTGAGGCTCGTAGTTGAGCCCCTTGGCGTCGAGGTGGAGTTGCTCAACGATGAGGAGGAGGATCTCGGTGGGGAAGGCAGCGAAGGAGGGAGAAGGAGGGGGGGGGAAGGTTGGTGTGTGTAGTGGTGGTTGCGTTCATGATGGGGTCGGTCAGTTTGGGTGGCTTTTTGGCTGCCGACTAGCTGTTGGGAGGCGATTGTGGCCTCGATGGCCCTGGTTGCGATCAAGGTAGTCAAATGGCTTGGTGGTGTTCTTTTCCCTGTTTGTAGCTCGGACGTGCTTGCTTGCTTGCAGGCAGAATCCTGAGCTCGATCAAGAGTGAAAGGGAGTGGGATTTATAGATACCTCTACCTCTACATGATGCCGGTCCATGAGGTTTAACACCGTCGCTTTATATAGAGGAAGCATACCTAGGTCGTGTATCATAATTATCGTAGTTGGTCTCTTCACTTGATAGACTAATTTACTCGCAGGTGACGAACTTGGACTGGATCGTATGGAAGTGAGTTGACATCTATCGTCCAAGTACGGGCCCTCGAAACTGGAATCTTGAGTGTGAGTAACACGGAACAGTTCACTACATGGGAACCGTACCGAATCATCGTCGGTTAGTATATACTTATGGATGACCACCATCTGGAAATACTTGCACGTCTGCGTTTGTTCCAGGCCGCACGTGAAGGTATCACTTTGGCGAAGAAAGGAAAGTTGCAAATTCACCAAAGAGGTCTATCTTGACAGTTGATATTGGTAGGTATATCGAGAAAGAAAAGGGGGTCATCATGCCGAGCCGAAGAGATCCTGATTCTGAATGATGGCCGGGTCAGCAGTTCGTTAGTAGTGTAGTGTACTCCGGATCGAGGAATGGTAAGTAAGGGTCCATAAATTATCGGCGATGCATCTTGTCTGCCAAAGTGCCAAGATCCGGACCGGCTGGTGCGGGCGGTGCCATGATGGTTCTTCCCGTCACTCTAGAAAAGCGGGTGCAGGCGTAAGTGGGTGACGGACTGGGGCGTGCAAGATAAAAAGGTCTAGTTGACATCGCTTTGGTAAATTCATGTGGGAAACTTGGTATTAGGCTAGTAGGAGTGATGGGAAGAAAGGTTTTAAGACTACATTATATTCGTACAATTTGGTCCAGACTTCGATGTCAGTCGGGCGTGGCCGGATGCAGGTACAAAATACGTCACGGCCGATGTGGAGACTGGTGAACCGGATCTGGACCCACTTTATCGGGGATACCGAATGCCAAGATCCGGATGAGAGCCGGACGTTGTGGGAGAATGAACTGCAGCACGTGGAGGTAGCGGCTGCTGGAACACCGAATTAGATGTTAAGGCACTCTACGAATTGAAAGTCGTGTCTTGTCGCTGCGGAACATATCAGGATGCCAGGCCGACACGCAGTTGGAAAACTCCAGTCAGCGTTTATTTTCACCTCTACCAGCATTAAACTTGTAAGCGCGGTACCACCACGTTACAGTTTTAAGGGCCTCAGATGTGGTCAAACCATCTATATTTTGTACGATAATTAGAGTTTTGGCCACTTGCAAATCAGCGTGCTAACAATTTCATTGCCGGCAAAAGTGTTGTTGAGGCAACCAAAAACAAACAATGACCATAAACACCTTACCCAAACATTTAGTGCAACCATCCAATCTCATTGGTCATTGTCTCTAACAGCCTCATTTCCTCAACACCCACTCATGTTCCGTCCCCATCATCTGTGAGATCATCTTGTTCCTGAGGTAATCAATCTGAGCATCCACCAAACAAACGTCGTCCCGAAAACACACCAACAGAGATCGAATCGCGAATCGCAAATCGCAAATCATTGCCCAGCCCAGCCGCCCAACTGAGCCAGTCGCCGTCATTCAGCCAGTGAGGGCTTATGTGAGCGGAACCTTTTCTCGAGACACAAGAGTTTTCATTCGTCAATGAACGCCGACGGAAAAAGAATTTCGGCGTCGGGTCAGCCGCAACGGAATTTGTCGTCGAGTTGGAAGGGCAGGCAGGTCGGATGGCGAGGGAGTGAGGGGGGATGTTTCGCCTCCTTGCTCGATAGTAATGATGAGATGATGCGTGAAGTGGTCAACCTTTCGGTACTTTAGGTACCCAGAGGCACTCGCTGGCCGATGAGGTGTTGTGTGTCTGCAACGCGACGAAATTTTTTGATGATCGCTCGATCCGTCTCGTTGGCCACCACACATCCAACCATCTTGGATGAAACAAAGAATTCATCTCTTCTACTGTACCAAATGAAAAGAAAAAAGAAATTTGCCATCTAGACAGATCCCGCCAACACGAAACTCGGACTCAATAACCACATTGGTGTGAACCGACCCAATTCAGATACATATGTACCCCTGGCCACAAGGAATGACCCGAGCGACGGCGACGGACCCCGGCCCTGTGGCTGTCAGATATGTACAGTGCGTAAAAAATACCCCGGATTCTGTGAAGGACACGCAATTTCAGTCAGTTCCGAGTTGCGAAACCCATCAATTTTTCCACACAAACCACTGGGGTTGAATTGACCCAGAAATTGGTTCGAACGGTGTCTGCTATTCCACGGGCCTGGTTTCGTCATTGAAGACTTCTGTATTCTGTATATCAGAAAAACGTGAAGTCTCAACCTCTTCATTCCGACTTCTCGGCGTCCTTGGGTTGTTAACCGGCAATGGTTAGAGGTACCTTTATGGTTACATCCCACCGCCAAACCATTGCAGAGGTGCAGAGAGGCGGTGGTCGGTGCCGTGGAAGCGTGGCTCGGTGGTCATTGCGTTCATTAGGTGCAGTGACCTGGCATGGCTTCCCCGGCCCAGACCGCCATTGACAACAGGTTGGCAACTTTGAAAGAATGTACGAACAACCTGGTAAAAGAGTTTGAAAATGTTTTATAGTTGCCAGTTCGATGGTGACATGAGATATTGTGGTTAGTTTCTGATTGTCAAAACGGTTGAAATGCCGTCGTCGTCGTCGTCGTGATTGTGTGTACGCAGACGGCAGTGATGCTGCAAAATGGAACCTGCGTGACCCTGAATTAGTGCATCTTCCCTGTGATCCACCGCTCCCGCCCCTTGCCCGGCGCCTGCCCTCTCCCCCATCCGTCCCCAGGAGCCCGGAGGCTGGGAAATGGTTGTTGTGCGGCCTTTGTCCCACTGGAAGGTGGAATTAGTGTACACTGCAGGCGTCGGGTGGGAAGTCACTTTTTTTGTGTGGTGCGAAGGCTGGGAAGGGAATGCGTTATGCACCAGCGGACCAGGGCTGTTTCAAAGTCGGTCTTTGTTTCTTCAACACACAGAGTCGTCGTCGCTTTCATTGTTAACCTTTTCCGTTCCCCCTCCCTCCACGGTCCACACCAGTGACTTCCCC